TTATATACAAATAAAAAGTAAAAAATATAAATTTTGTAGTAAAGATTGTCTACAGTTGACAATTTAATATTATTTTTATCAATCAAAAATCAAATTTTCTGCAGGTAATGTTATTAAAACATATTGTTATAACTTATTTACTTTTAATGGATAAATTCAAAATAAACAGATTTTCTCAATATTTATTTATATTTCGAGATTTTTTTGTACACATTTTATATACATTTTTGGCAATGATAAAAGTTTGAGTTAACTGAAATAATAGATTTATTATAATCGATAATAGGTATATTTTGTTAATAATATAAAATCAAAATATTTATTTCAAAGTATTTGTATTTGTTTTTTGTAACAAAACATTTCTTTCTTTAAATTTTGATATACATAAAAGTTTGTTTAGAAAACGGAAATGAACGTAGATTAAAATTTGTATTAAAATTTTGTGTCAACCCATTTTCAAATGAAGATAGATAAAAAAAAAAGAAGAGCTCAGCTTTATTAATAGTAGTATTTTGATGCAAGCTACGCATCAGACAAGGCCGATATTTGAAGGTAGGAAGTCATTCTCTAAACTAAGCCTTTAGTAATTGCCAATTTATTACACATCAGTTCATTTCCTGTTCTTTTTTGTTTTCTTAAGTGCAAGAGTCGTAAAGAGAAGTGTCAACGAAACGTTTGCTCCGGTTATTATTAGCCGTAAGTTAAGTAACTTTCCTTGGTCCGTAGCCAAAAAGCGCAAAATATGTCAATTAATTATAAATTATATTTAGGTTTTCTTAAATAATTGCTTAATAAGAAAAACTTGAGGTTAATTTATTAAACAAAAAATGTAAGAATATTTCCTAGAATTGAAAATCGAAAGAAGAAAAGTGCAGAGTTTACTTAGTTTTCTTTTATCGAAGAAAATGATGTTATTAACGTAATTGCGTATGCGCATGCGCGAGCGCTGCATTTATCGATCAATTTTCAGTTTTCAGCGTGTGGAAACGTGCGCCAATGCCGAGATGTTTTCGCGTCGTCAACTTCTTTTGTTTTCCCTCTAATAATTTGTCCCATTCCCTTCTAATACGCACAGTTTTCATCTGCATTTCACATTTTTTTTCGCTTCATAAAAATTGTATAATTTACAACATTTTTTTTATCTGTAACGTATATTTTTATGCAATCATAAAAACCGTGATTGAAACGAGAGGATTTTTTTGTGTGTGTGGCGCTGCAATTGTGATTGATCCGTGTGCAGTGTGCAAATTATGGATGCGACGAAATGCGTGTCCTGAAAATGGAAAAGACCCGGGATTTCAGCGTAAGGATCTTTCGTGAATATACGTAACTAGTTTTCAATTATAGTTTATATTTTTAATTGATACTTAAGTAACCAATTTGTTTGTGTTTTTTTTTCTATGTTGTTGTTATTGACAAAAGGCGTGGAGTGCACTACGCATCAAGGATATGCAAAAATAGCCTTCTAAAAATAATTTAATGGATTTGATTTGCGTATTCGAATTTCGATTTTGACTTGTTCAATCGCTTTTGTTTTATATTTTGGTTTTTAAATTATCTAAAATATTTAAAAAAATATTGTTTTCTTACTCATTAACAATGTGAGAAAAATTCAAGAAATTATATTTAAATTTTAATTATTTAAGTATTAATCATTTCATAATAATTAGATTAAAAATATTCAATTTAAATTATTTTGATTTCTATTGAAAATTTTGTATTTAAAAAAATATGATTATAATTAAGAGAATTTAAGTTTGTTTTTTTTATTAAAATTTTAATTATTTCTTTGTTGCTGCAAATTTTGATTAAAATAAATTGTTACAAAATAGAAAATTCATTTAAGAATGTTTTGTATCTTAAATATTAAAATTTACAATTATTTCGTTGTTACTCCAAATTTTGATTGAAGAAAAAATATAGTAGATAATGATTAAGAATGTTTTGTTTCTTCAATAATTCTAAAGAATTATATTTTTTATTCAAATTTTACTTAATATTTCTTTGTTGCTCCAAATTTACTTATTATTTAAGTATTAAATATTTTAGATTACAAATATTCTTTTTAAATTATTTTGTATTGAATTGATTTTATTTTGAAAATTTTGTATTTCAAATTCAGATTACAAACAATTTGATTATAATTACGAGAATTTATATTTTTAATTAAAATTTTAAAAATTTCTTTGTTTTTTCCATATTTTGATTGACATAAATTGTTACAAAATAGGATATTGATTTAAGAATGATTTGTTTCTTCAATAATTCTAGAGAATTACATTTTGTATTCAAATTTTACATATTACTTCTTTGTTACTCCAAATGTACTTATTATTTAAATATTAATCATTTCATTAGATTAGAAATATTCATTTTAAATTATTTTGATTTCTATTGAATCGATTTTTTGACAAAAATTTTGTATTTCCATTTCAGATTACAAAAAATGTGATTAGAATTAAGAGAGTTTATGTTTTTAATTAAAATTTTAATTAACTCTTTGTTATTTTTTCCAAATTTTGATTGAAATAAATTGTTACGAAATAGGAAATTGATTTAAAATCATTTGTTTTTTCAATAATTCGATAGAATTTTACTTATTACTCCAAATTACTATTAAAATAAATTGCTATATAATACAAAATTTATTAAATATTTCAAAAGAATTTAATTGTGTATGAACATTTTAATTATTTCCAACTTTTAATTGGAAACAAAAAATAAATAATAGAAAATTGATTTAAAATTATTTTTTTATTAAATAATTTAAGAAAATTCTTTTATAATTTTAATAATTTCTTAATTTGTAGTAAAATTAAGATTGAAAAAAATATTATTATTTATAAAAAATTTGTTTTAAAAATATTGATTCTTAAATAAACCAAAAAAAAATAACGAAAATTTTATTTATTTCATTGTTACTCAATGCTTAATACGCTTATAGTATTGAGTAAAACGTTTTTATTTAAAAATGTTCTTCAAAATGTTATGTGATTATGAAATAGTGATATTTAAATAGACATAGATTACAAAAAAATAAGTAATTCAAGCAAATTACAACAATTCTACTCAAACATTCATTATTTCAATATTTAGTAGAAATTTTCTTTAAAATAAATTTATTAAATAATTTCAAACACAAAAATTGTATTAAGATTTTAATTATGTAACTCTCACTTAATACTTAATACGTAGTAAAGCAGGTCATATTATATAATATACGACAAATAATTTCCATAACAACATATTAATATATTAGAAATGATGCAATAATTTAATCAGGTTTCTTTACATATATTTGCTTATTTTTTTATCAACTTTTTGTCTTTAAAACTGCATACTTTCTCATTTTAGCTTTGCTCCAGATTTTTTTCTTGTTAATTCTTTTTTATATGATCTTTTCTTATTCTTTAAATTTATCTACATTTTTATTATTTAAGTAGTATTTTTTTTTGATAAAACAAATAATAACAAATAACTTTTTTTAAGGTTTAATGGTTTTGAATTTCAGATGTTCTGAAGAGAATATTTAATAATAAACAATATTAAAAACTGACATAGAATATATAAACATTTACAAAATTTCAAAACACTTCAACTAAAATAAGTTTTATGTGTATAAAGTAAAGATACATATGTAAAATTTAATTGAATTATGTATATTTTTAGGTTCTATATCACAATTGAAATCTCGATGTTCGAAATCCGGACTGTATCGAAATCCTAACGTTCGAAATCCCGACTATATCAAAATCTCGACAACCATAATCCCGACTGTATCAGAATCTCGACAACCATAATCCCAACAAACATAATCCCGACTATATCGAAAAATTTTACAATAACATTTATAAAATATTTCGAAGCGTAGTCACCTTGTGCTACACTTTTATTATTAATAACAATAAATTATTATTAATTTATTTGATTTTGTATTATTTTGAATAACAATTGAAAAGTCACTACGCTCCGGAATAATTTAAAAATGTTATTGCATACATTTTTGATATAGTCGGGATTTTGATATAGTCAGGATTATGGTTTTCAGGATTTCGATACAGTCAGCATTTTAAACGTCGGGATTTCGAACATCAGGAATTTGATTGGCGGTATTTTGGTCGTCGGGCTTGCGATTGCCACCGTCTGTAAATAATATTCCTATCATCAAATATATTTAATTTCGTTTTTTACAAATAAATAAACACTAATGATCTTTCGTTACATAATTATAATGAAACCGAACCGAATTTGGCGAAATTTATTACGATTTATCTAATATGTATAATTAATTATGTTCAAATCATGAAAACTTTCAGAGTTATGTCAAAAATTATCGAACAATTTTAACTACAAAATAAAAACAAGTAAAATTTTACGAATTATCAAATAATTACAGAAACAGATTTGTTTCTTTCGATTCTTTGATATTTTAACAGTTATCAAATATCAATGATCTTTTTTATACTTTTTGATTATGAAATATCTTTCTGAACAATATTTATAAATTGAATAATAAATAAAAAAATTACTTCGATACAAAATTTAATCTCATGAACATATTTATGTTCAAATCATTATAAGTTTTGTCAAAAATTATCGAACAATTTTCACTACAAAAGACATGTAAAATTTTACGTATTACCAAATAATTACAAAAACACATTTTTTCTTTCTATTCTTTGAGATTTTTACAGTTTATTGTCTTATATTTTTTTGTGATTATGGAAACTTTATAGTAGTAGATGAAATAGAGGATTATTTAAATTCTATAATGAATGAAAGTGTTTCTATTTTAGTTTCAAATTATGAAAATTTTAAATGTTTTGTATGTAATAAAATACATATGAATTAGGTAACTGTTCCACTTTTTTATGTTCTTTTATCTTTAGTCCCGAATTAATTACATCGCGTACTGCAAATATCGCTTGTTTACATAATTAATAATAAACATATGCCTCGTTTGAGCATAATAAAAATATCGTAGATAATATACACGCGTTGAAATAGAAGAATATGTTTGAATAGTATTATTCCGTTTGGTAGTGGTTTATTTATCTGGTAAGAGGAAACTGTGTTTTTTATTATGATAATAATAAACTAAAACAACTAAGTGGGATTTAGCTGCACTCATTTAATGCAGCTAAATTCCACTTAGTTTTGGTTTGCATTTCGAGCAATGCGCGTAACGTACAGATCACCTTTGTAGAATCCAATATTTATATTTCTTAATCGATTCAAAGGGATGTCTCCAACCACCCGAATCTGATAAAATAACCATGTGCCATCGGTATAAATAATAAAAGAGCTTCAATAGAATCCTTGATGTAATAGGATCAGTATGCTTCAGTTTGTATTATCTGCTTGTTATAGGTTTGTTTTTTAACGAATTTTTAAAGTGTTCATATAATTGTGTAGTAGTAAAAAAGTGATTTTTAAATAGTAAGAAATTTATTTATTTTTGATGGATACAATCTAAATTGCATTTTTCATTGATATCAGATATTACCGTCGTTCGGGGTTTTAGTGAATCCTGTAATATCTTCGATATTACCTCAGCTTTCCAATCAATTACATAATATATTCCACTTTGGTGGAGCAACTCAATTAGCATTAATAACTTAATACTTATATTGCAATGTAACATAAATACAATTTAGTGTTCAATTAACGTTAATTGTAGTAAATACTAGTCGAATTCGGACAATAAATTTCCATATAAATGCATTCCCGTTATAGTAAATAACGATTGCAGCGTCCGCATTAACGTACTCCATGTTTGCATTAATATACTCAACGTTCGCACTAACGTACTCGACGTTCATACTAACGTACCTTGTAGTTGAACTCCTTCTTACATTTCGAATGTCTCATTGGCATTAGATATTACCGTCGTTCGGAGTTTTAGTGAATCCTTTAATATCTCCGACCTCTTTATATTAGCTCGACTTTCCAATTAATTACATAATGTACTCCACTTTGGTGAGGCAACTCAATTAGCATTAATAACTTAGTGCTTGTATTTTAAAATTGAAATGTTTCAATCAATGTAATGTAAATACAATTTAGTGTTCAGTTAACGTTAATTGAAGGTGGGATACTAATTGAATTAACGTACATTCGGACAATAAATTTCCTTATAAACGCATTCCCGTTTTAGCACTAATGTACTCGGCGTTCATACTAACCTACACTTTGTAGTAGAATTCCTTTTTACATTTCGAATGTAATTACTAAAGTCTGCTATAACATTTGAAATAATCTGTATAAAAAAAATATTAAAGAATTTTTTTATCGTAATGTAAACAATTTGAATGAAATATTGATTAACAACCATTAATTTAAATATTTTATTGAAATATTAAAGCAATCTATTTGAAGTAATCAATATTTATTCGTCCTTCAAATATTTTTTTTCTGTAATCATTTTCAATTAATTCTTAATTTCGTTATCAAATAATGATTTATTATCGTAATTAAAGACTTTCTTGTTGATTTTATTGTGATATTCCAGTTAATTAATTTTTATCTAGTTTATCCGAAGTTTTGAAATATTTTATCAGTACAAAAATGGATTAACTAATATTATCTTTTTAATGACTAGATCAGCGTTTGTGAACCTTTTAGCCGGACAATTCAACATATTTGTTTGTAGTTGTAATGCGGACAAATTTCTAAAATAATTTTACTCGTTTTGACACACATTTCGCGTTCCAACATATTTGTTTGTTCTTATACTGCGATCCAATTGCGAAGAGTATTTCTCCAGTTCCTCGCTTTGATACAAAGTGACAGCTGTCATTTCGCGACTAATTAAAAATGACCCATAGGTTTAGAAGCACTGGATTAGAGTAATTGTGTATAAATTAAAAGCTTAATGAGGTCACGAATCATGTTTTTTTTTCTTTTTTTTTTCCAGGAAATGCACCATGCAGGATTTGAAACTGATATCAGATAAAATTGTTTTTGTTATACTGCTGAGTTTCTGTGGTATGGTCTACATGGGATACAAATTCTCGTTAGTTTCCAATTATTATACTTACCCACCTGCGTATGCCTTAAATTGTAACTAAACCGAAGATAAAAAGATGAATACATAGACACTCACAGTTGTATTTTTCAGATAGTGATTTCATTTTGTACAACTCGAAATGTCGTATACCGAAAGTGGATCCCTTCAATATGGAGGTGAAGGGTTTCTACAAGAAGAAAAGTTACGTGTCCTGCAGCAAATTAGAGCTGTTAACGTACGTAACGAAGGACGTGAACCACACAAGTGCCAAGATCCATATAAAACGTGATCTCGTAAAGTCGTACTCAAGCAATGGAGTGAATTGCTGCTACCAGAACGTATCCAGAGGTGATAAAAACATAGACAACACCATTTCGTAATAACGCGTAGATTTCGAGTGAAAACAGTTAATCCAATGACCGATTTTCGTTTTAGGTTATCCAAATGCGTGGATTTCAACGGCGAGGTGAATTTATCCAAGAAGGCTGTGCTGGTGAAATGTCTGAACAAGGCTACGAAGAAGGAGGTGTACAGCAATGTCCACATGCCGGTGATAATAACGAGCAAAGAGAAAGCTAAAATTGCTAAACATGATAAGAGTTCGAGGCCTTTAAGTGTTCTTATAGTTGGAGTCGATAGTGTTTCTCGTCTGAACATGATGAGGGATTTGCCGAAGACCAGGAGCTTCCTGAATACGAACGGTTGGATCGAGATGCAAGGTTACAATAAAATTGGCGACAATACGTTTCCTAACCTCATGGCCATCCTCACCGGACGCGAAAAGGATAACGCGTACGATGCCTGTGATCCAACCGTAACCGGAAAACTTGATTCCTGCAATTTTATTTGGAGCGACTACGGTAAATTCAATTATATAACCGGGTACGCTGAGGATTCTGCGGATATTAGTACGTTTAATTACCTTAAGAAAGGTTTCAAGGAGGAACCGGTTGATTATTACTATAGATCTTTTATTATCGCGTCGGAGAAGAAGATGAAAACTGTTACTGTTGATGCCATGAAGTACTGCTCGGGGCCGGAAACTGCGGGAGAAAGGATCCTCCACGCCGCACAAGATTTCGCTATATCTTTAAATAATACGCCACATTTTGGGTTTTTCTGGATGAACTCGTTCAGTCACAACATGCTGAACTCTATTAGTCGAATGGATGATAAGCTGAGGAAGTTTTTTACTGAGATCAACGCTGCCGGAGTTACGGATAATTCCATCATCATATTCATCAGTGATCACGGGTTGAGGTTCGGGAAGATCCTGAGAACGTACACGGGTTGGTTGGAAGAGAGGCTACCGATGTTCTACATCTGGACTCCTCCGTGGTTCAGGGAGATCTATCCAGTGGAATACGAGAATCTTCAAGCTAACAGCTTGAAGCTCACCAATCCCTACGATCTTCACATGACACTCCAAGATATCCTCACCTACTCCGGCGCCAATCACAGTATAGTTCAAAGCCGCGGATGTCCGAAGTGCAAGTCCCTCTTCAAGGAGATCGAATTCGAGAGGTCGTGCGAGGACGCCTCGATCGATTGGCATTGGTGCTCCTGTGCCGATTACAAATCCATCGATTCCGAGAACGAGACGGTCCAGAAGGCGGCACAGTGCATCATCGACGGAATCCATAAATCTTTAGCCGTGCCGGAAGCCAAAAAGTGTGCCAAATTCAAAGTGAAGAAGATCATGTCGTCGCGCATCTCCACGTCCGCGGATAACTGGTACAAGAACGACACGTATTTTCTGATAGTCTTGGAAACTTCGCCTTCCGCGATTTTCGAAGCTACCGTCAAATACGACCGCACATCCGAATCCGATCCCTTCATCCTGCAGTCTGGTATAAGCAGGTTGGATCATTACGGATCGCGTAGCGATTGCGTCAAGAAAGGCAACCTGAAGACCATCTGTTACTGCCCATAGTTTTGAAGGAAACATCGATTCTCCATTTGTCCATTTAGAGTCTATACCTTTCAGCCCCATTTTTTATATATATAAACATAAACCGAGCCTTAATAATATTAAATATAAGCAAATTAATCAGAGATAATAATTTATAAACAGGCTGTCCATCTCAATATTCTAAATAAAAAAAATATACAGTTAATAAGTTGAAAATCATTGGAGAATGAAAGTTGACAGAGTTTAAATAAATCAAATGTGAATATACATAAATATATATATATACCTATATATTTACTTAATAAAAATAGCTGTTATAACGTTTATTATTAATACTATATTTATATATATAATGGACGAAGAAAATTATTTTAATATTGTTCTTATATACTTTAGGAATAGAAGCGAATAGAATTCGATTCGATATAATCATATGATTAAGAGGAAAAGTCTTAAGAATTTTAAGTTTCGTTTTTCATATTTTTTTT